GATAAGAGATTAAAGTCAAAGCATAACACGACGTTTCGTTCTCGATTAACGGAATCGCCAGGCATGTTTAGAATTTACTATTACATGAATGAAATCAAATCCACTCAATCAATTAAAGTGAGAGAGAATAAGACCAGAGTCGGCTGTGGGTATGAGCGTAGACAGTGGGTGTGATATTGTATTCGTAAAGGCACATCAACGCTCACATACCCACCCATCCATACCCACACCTTCCATCATGTTTTCTTCTTAAAATATACTTTCAAGATGTATAAGATAACATAAAGACACAACAGATTATAAATATGGGAAAGCAAAAAATTTATTGTTCGTGACTTGTATGAAGAAATCTTTTTTGCACGTACTATTTTAATTGGTGCTTGATGTTCAGTAGCACAAATTATTATGTGATCAAGATAAGAATCTTTACTTGTAAAATTTTGACAGCATAATTGACATTTGAATATTCTCTAAAACAAAAAGAAACATTTTATTCAAATATATTGTTCTTCTTGAGTTAAAAGAAAAATACCCTTGATGGTAAAGAACGAAGAAGAATAGGTGAATTTGTACATTTCGAAGATTTCATAGTTTTTGATATTTTTGCAGAAGGTGATAAAGAAACACTTTTATAGTTATCATTTAAAAGAATCTTTCTCTCATTTGATGTTATGTCTTGATCAATAAGTTTTCCTTTCGTTATAATCGGTTGCATTGCAATAAAACTATAAAAATAAAAATTGATACTTTTATGATAGCTAATATATCTACTCGTTTTGTGTAATTATTGATGATGTTTGTTGTTCGAACTTTTGTGTTGGCATTCGAGTGAATAGTTGACCCATTGATATGAATGTATTTTGATAATAGATTGTAATAATATGACTATCCATATATATGTTGTATCGAAGTCACACCGGTCGACGAAGTTGTAACGTCGTCGACCGGTGTAACTTCGATGCAACACATAAATATAAGTTCTAGGGAAGAGAAAAATGAGACGAACTCGATTTGTTATCATCAGTCTAAAAGGTCACCATATAGGAAATTCATGATCACAGCTGGAAGAATAAAAGAAAATAAACGACGGACAAGCATTCAATGTGACATCAGACTATGCCGATGTTCATGGACGACGCTCCAGTACTACAAGGGGCAGTAATTGCGTCCGCTGGAAAAAATTGGACAAGCAATAAAAAATATATTTTCTTTTCAAAGCTTTTCATGATTTCTTGATATACTAGAGGAACAATATATGATTCAAGATTCATATTTACCACGAATCGTAGTCAAAATAGAGAAATCAAACCGGTGCTATGAAGTATATTTATAGCTAGCTTGATACATGCATTTCATGTTGTGCATAGCTGACACTCTTTTGTATCAATAATGCTTATTTACAAACATTTTGTAGCGTCGCGAGAGTGAAAGGAAACGAATATAGTGATTGAGTTAAATCTACAAGATGTTATTGAGTTGTCTAATTGGATAATGCTAGTAACTACAGCACTACATAGGATAGTGATTTTCAAGTGGTAATTCGTAAACACGTGTTGACATAGCTTCTCGAGCTGACCAATTATAACGTGTATGCTATTTTTCTATATTTTTTGAACTTTTGATTAACAATTAACTTGAATTCGTATTTGATTTTTTTGATTTCATTCACGAGAGCTACATAAGACCATACTCATAAAGGAGATAAACTAGCTGATAACTTCTTACATCTATAATATCTTTCAAAAGAAATAGCTATTAAAATGTTAGACAATCATATTTTGAATAAATCTGCTTTCAATGAAAAGTGCTGCACTGCTTTAAAGTTCTTAATATGCTGTCAAGTGAATTAATACGCAAGTGTCTAGCATTTTTTTAAAAGATAGGGAGTTCAACAAACAAATAGCTGTTATTGCGGGACTGTTCACTGAAGGAGGTGATGATGGAGGCTACCTCATGCCCACCAAAAATTTCCAATTTTCTGAGAAAATTTATAACATTTTCAGCCAATTTCTTTACAGCAATAAGCTAATTTTCGACAGAAAATGGATTTTAAAACCTCATTTTCTTTTTTCTGACAGAAATTAGAATAAAAATAAACAGATACTGTTAAGAGAGCACGACCTAGTTAAAAGTAATTCTCGATCACCCTATTCTCCTTCTCCTCATCCATTTCAATGGAATCCTTCTATCGAAGGAAAGATCGACTAACTTGACGGGGTGGGTACATGGTTTCAAGTATTCACGAACAATTACTACTCTTGACGAGTCTTTTGTGACGCTACCGATTACGTATGATATGAAGAATTGTCAATACAAAACTATTTTTACTGAATAAAATTTGTGAAAATTAATCTATAAGTATTTAAAAGGTTTTTTGGTTTTTTTATTGAATAGTGTTTTTTGTGAACAAATGAAGTATCAACTTCATAAATCAGTGGTTAGAAGAAAATGATGATAAATGTTAAGTTTCATATTCGTAGTTTCTTCCTTTTTTAGTATTATCGGACATTTTTTCTATAGCGAAAAAGATTGGTTGTGTCAAACAAATGGTTGTCATTTGTCAAGTCATCTGTTATGCTTATCTAGTAATTTACTTAATGGATGTTTTTATCTAAATGAGCTTACTTGTATATCTCTGTCCTGTCAATCTAAAGGCAAGTGAAACAAGTCACGATGAACTTTACTTGGTTTCTAAATAATTTCTGGAAACTTAGAAACGATATTTTTGTCACGTATATTCTGTAAGCGAAATTGAGATTCAGTCAAATTCTAAGTTTGACGTACCAAGTTTAGAATTTTCATGCATCTTTTTGAATCTCCAAAAATGATATTTTCCTAAAACAAGATTAAATTTCTATTTCAATAAAGACATCACTTTCATCAAGTCGATGATAATATCGAATGTTTTCAAGTGCTTGTACCAAACTTTTACTCCATTGTTCTTTTTGTTCTTCAGTTGGTGATGATTCTAAGTTCAAACATTCATAAGCGGGTGTGGATGTGGGTGTGCGCGCAATGGCAGAAGAAAAGTAGTAGCCCGCCCACACCATCCGCACACATCCACACTCACTCACCCACATCCACATACCCACCCACACACCCACACCTACACCCCATACCCACCCCGGCATTGGGCATTTCTATTGAAATCGAAAGCCAACTGTTTCATTTGTAACTAATCACGTGACTATGTGTTTATTTGGTTGAAAGAACGTTTGTTGAAAGTATCGTTCATTCAGAATACGAACAACATTGAGAAAGACAATGTTGCTCGATAGCGCTGTAGGCAATTGATAGTAGTATTGTAAAAGCTAAGAAGATATAATCTTGGCACTGCATTACCATTAAATAGTTTGTGTAAAGAACGAAATGATTACATAAGTATTCGAAGAAATGCCGCAATGAAACGTGAGACTAATTCGTGAAAAATTGAAAAAATAGGTAACGCGAAATGTATATGACACTTTGTTATTGTGCCAAGCTTCGTTGATGGTTCTTGCCTCACAATTCATACTCTTGCTCGCGATCTTTATTCAGACTGACAGTCGAAGTCATTCAGGATCGAATGATCGTCATTCTTTAAAAAAAACATTGACTGCTCTCATCAAGCGATTGGATGCACAGCAAGATCAAATAGATGCACTCATCAGACGCTCAATACAATCTCATGTTTTCTGTCTCGGTCAAGTGCCAGCGAGTGAATTTTATCCTTATCTCACTAGTGTAGGCATTTTTGCTCATGTCAATACTATACGCTGCGAATTCCATATGACGCCTACTTATCTAACAAGTTTGGGTGGAATCAATTAAATCTGGTATGTGGGTGATGCAAAATCGATTTATAACGCAACTGCTACTGGGTTTCGAATCTATCTTACCGCTGCAGACAAGATTCAAACATCCACAGATTTATTGGCCTACACCATTCAAAAACAGTAGGTCCTCAACCGGATTGGAATTGAGGAATCGTTTAACTTTGTTCAGCTTGCTTAAGATGTCAATAAAAGTAATGTGATAGCATTCTAATAAGACATCAAGTCACAGCTGCAAAGTGCGGCCATTAGTAGAGCGCTCAACGCAGACTAAGCCACAAAAGCGCCTGATACCAGACAAGACAGTAGAGTGTGGGATGGTGTGAGTATGAGTGAGGGTGAGGGCTGTGAATTGGGTCAAGATATGGGTGTGGATGTCGCTGTTGCTGCTGTACATGAGTGGTAGAAGAGAATATCAATACCAACACAGACATTCTCTCCCAAAACTGTACCCACACCCGCACCCGAAAATCGGTTTATTCTATGTGGAAAACGCACGCAATTTCCATATTGAGTTATAAAAACAGAAAACTCTGATAGAAAAACATCAGCTGCATGTTAATGTGATCGGAACGTACAGAAAGCAGGACGCCAGTCAGCTGTTTTATACCAAAAAGCGAAACCATATTGACACGTGACAAATCGATATAAGAACAAAAAAAGATAATATTTCTCTTGCTGTTGGCTCTTACCCGTTGTTCGAAACAGAACAAAACACTTTCTCATCATTTTCTTCGTCGTTATTTCAATATTTAGCGGCTACTCGAACAATAAGTACTATCATGCATGAAAGATCGTAGTGAAAAATTGCGCGAATTCAATTTTAGCTCACCATATCTTATTATCATGATTTAGAATTCAAATATCGATCGCATATAGATCATACACGAATTGAAATTTATATATTTGGCTCACTATAAACCAACAGTTTTGGCCTTTTTTAATCTTGACTCACCATTTCTGTTTTCTTCAGGCAATTTGTAGATCTAATGTGTTCAATGTACAACAATGGCAGACGATGCAAAGAAAATCGTGATCATTTGAATCATCTAGCAATTAATCACAGCGTGCCTTCTCGGAATTAAAATCCTACTATTCTGTTTATTCTAAAATGATATTTTCACCTTCTAGTTTAGCACAATCAATTAATGTGAATAATTATAATAATCTTGCAAAGGATCGGGAAGATTAAGGAGACGAACTATATGAAGCCAGTCGTGCTACAAAATCCGGTGCTCGTGTGAGACCACCTCCAGCCGCTCCGTATTGCACATGAATTCCGGGAAACGGTTCAATCCAAGAAATCTGTCCATAACGACAGACTTGTCGATTACAACCATGTACAAGGAGCGGTTCGATTCGACATGATTCGCCTAATGTTTTTCGTACCGCAGTGACTAGGCCCACAGCAATCGTTCCGTCATAGTTGGCAGCACTTTCATCGGAAACATTCGGTGTAATGCAGGCTCCGGCGGTGAATCGCATCAAATACAAATTGTAAATCTTTCCTTGAGAATCTTTCACTTGCGCAGGATTTTCGGATAATTTTGTCGCATCATTTGTTTCACCACAAACCAAAACAGGAGGTAGTCGATAATCTAAGGGTACGTAGACATGTGCCAATATTGATACTCCTCGAGCAGCAACAACATCAAACAAAGGCCTATTATTTTTGCCAATAATCGGCTGGTTACCCAGCGATAGAATTAAGCGAGAAAACGGGAGATAATGTTTTTGACCATCAGGTGTGTCATATTCAGCGATACCTCCTGACTGCTGATCGTCAACATAGATCGTAGTAAGTGTTCCATCAATAAATTTGCCTCCTTGATTTCGAATATAATTAATGAGTATCTTCATAAAGTTCGAGAACATGACTCTATCATGTTGTTTTTCGCCATACATCTGACCATTGGGAATGAAGCCATAGCGTTGAAGCATTTCTTCCTTGGATAAAATTCTAAAAGTTCTACCTTCGTTTTCTAAAGCTGCTTTCAACGTTTGTAGTTCTGAAATTTCCTCACTGGTTCGGGCAACCCAAATCGATCCTTTTTCAGGTAAAAGAAGTTTGCCATCCAATTCCTGATTTAAACGTTCGAAAAACTTTTCATTTGCAATACATTGTGCAGCAACTTTTTTCAACATAGTCGTTCGATCTTCGAATATAGTGAACAACTGAAAGGCTAGCCCTATTTTAAATCCAACAAACCAATGATCAGGATGCCGTAGCCAACTGATCCAATCTAACGTTCTCCATGGGAAGTGACCGGTTTGCTGAATCGATGCGTAACTGACGTATCGAAATATCGCGCGAACGAGTTGTTCGACTAAGAATTTCGTAGGTCGATATGCAGTGGGTGCCTCTGATTCCGCATCTTGTTCCAAATGCCAGGCGGAACCGAAAGCGATCGGTATTCGTCGTTCATCATTGATATAAGTTATATCTTTTTCAGTTTGCACCATAGAGACACCAGTGACTAATGCTGGTGGACCGCCAACAATCAATGTTTTCTGATTACGAACGGATGATTGAAATTGGATAGGACATTCTGTATAGGGTCGAATCTTGACAGGAGTCTTTAAAGCATATTTTTGCTTCAAGATATCAAGATCTATGTGAAATAGGTAGAAGAAGTGTGAAAAATGCTTCTGAAATAGTTCTAATTCATGTAAATCGGTAGTAATGAATGGATCGTGCATTCCGGAGAGCACATGCCTTTTGTTTTGCTCATGTGAATGATTTGAAAACGCATCATGCACTTGAATATTATCATTATACCGCGATGTAGCATTGATGATGGTGACCGTTGTGACCCCGAATAGACCTAAATAGCCAATTGATCGACGCCATGATTGACGGATACGATGAAAACTTGACATGATCTTGTTTTATTCAGACTAGTTGAAAAGAAGAGAAATTTGATAGAAATAATCCTAGGATCTTGCACGGTGTAGAGGAAAGATGATGCTGATTCTGTGAAATTGAACACAATATTATATATCAAGAAATTTTTGGTAAAGTTTTGACTTTCTTTTATATCTCAGAAAAAGAATGTATTTCTTTCACATTTAATGGACTGTCTGTATCTAGTAAAATGATCCCGAAATGAGCATTGTTCTCTTCAATATGTTCTCATTTTTCAAAATAGTTCGTTAGTGATAAAAGAAATGGCTCTTCCTATCTCAAAGCAAATTGAAAAATGAAGCAATGCTAACACCGCGTTCTTTATCTTTAAAGATGGCCAACGATGTGTTAAACACAGGTGGAGAGAGTATTATTGCTTTATAGTTTTGTGGATTTTTCTTCTTATCTTCATGGCCATGTTTGGAGAAAAAAAACGTGCTTAATGTTGATACAGTCTCAACAGTATGGGAACCAGCGCGTACGTGGACATCGACAAATAATGATGAACACTTGAAAATTGCCAAAGCCGTGAAGAAATTTTTTTCATTTTCTGACGACTTTTATCACGACTTTATATGTCTTTAGGTACCAGAGATACTCTCACAATGTCGAAGACAGACAAGTGCGCAGTTAAGAATGTGGATGGAAGTGAGTAAGTCACATTCTGAACAAAGCAGACACATACTCACACGCACACCCTACACTCGCATTCACACATTCATATTGATAGACATGTTCATATGTAAATATAGCATGGGTCGAGTTTGAGCGGGAAGCTCAGTTGGTGGAGCATATGGACCAGTAATTCATAGATCGCGGGTTCGTATCCCACTGTGGTCATATCTTTTCACATGGTATAGTGAAATGTGAAGATGATGTATTACTAAATTATTGCTAGTCGAGAGACATTCTGCTTGGGCTCTTCGGATCCGACTGCTCGCCTTCACGTGGATGATTTTCACCCAAGAAAGCTACAAAAACGCCAGCATTCATACACAGTAACACCCACACCAAAGTTTTGACACAGCACGTAAGTAGACTTGAGAGTGGGTGTGGTTGTGGTTAAAGAAGATACAAAAATCCACACCCACACCACACCCTGGGACGAAATGTCATGCACCGAAATGAATGACCACCAAAAGAACATATATGTCTCTTTCAAAACATCTCCGCTCCCTCAAATATGTTGACATTCCGATAATGTTGCTTTTCTTCGAGAGGAATGAATCAAAGAGCACAGATGTAAAGAAAGAATAAAAGAAACCAAAAAAAATGCAACACTTGGCGTAAGAGCACACAAGACAGAGTAATACATAAGAACGCACAAGAAAGAACAAACACTCTACCTAGAAATGCATCATAGGGTGTGGATATGGGTCTGGGGTGTGAATGTGGATGGGATGTGGATGAGATGTGGGTGTGGATGTTAATTTACACTAGACTCACACCTCGCGCCCACACACCACCCAGACTGAGACCCACATCCACACCCACCCTCAACCTGTATATCAGTGATATGAATTCGTTGATATAGTTCTGTACCTCATCTACTAACTTAGTACTATACACATATATATATAAATTTTCAATTATAGTTTATAGTTACAAAAAAAAGTCAATACCACAAAATANTAAAAACAAAAATGTACATGCTTTTTTGGCCACACACTGTACAACACTAAATTGACGTTCGTTTGAAGCATTTGCTGCTAGAGTCGAATAAATTTGTTGAAATACTTTCAAATAAAAAGGCAACGCCTCAGCATTTGATTTCCAAAACGTAAGAACCAGTCCAACAACTTTGTATGTAAGAATTCTATTTATGAAATAAAATTTTTCATACAGCGTAAATAAGACATTACACGACGAAAATAAGGTCCTAATACTGACTAATTCCGGTAATCGATTTCCATCATTTACGGCAGGAATAAGACCGTTTTAAAGCCGTTGTTTTCGACAGTCATAATCAGAGCTATCAACAGGCCAGCATTTTCGAATATGTTCAATTGTTTTGCTTCGGTTATGCGTGTGGGTTGAAATGAAAAGAAGACTAATATCTACACCCACACTCATACCCTCTAGTGATTTCGTTGAGACTAAACCGTTAGGCATCAACTAGTTTATGTAATCAATGAACAATAATATTGAAGAGACATGTATAAATTTTGGCTATGATGAGGTTTTGCGTACAATGATAATCTTATCATTTTGATTTTGTTTACTTGTAATATTCTTGGATTGTAACCTCCTAGAAATGGAATAAACAAGCAATTTAAATTTGAAAAACGGACAAATACTTTCTTTTGTTGAAGAAAGGAAAATAATATGTGATGAAAAGAAATGTATGCTTAATGTAAAAATATTAAATGTTTCTTTGTAGAAACAATTAATTTTTAATAGCCATTATCGATAGCATCGACAGTTCATCTTTTGATGATTTTTAGTGATATTTCGACTTTTAATTTTAATTACTTTCCAAGATTCTACATCCATTTACAAAAAGAAGTCTATTGCTGAAGTGTACTAATATATATATATAAAACTTATACTCGTGTTCTGTAGTGTCCTCTATTGTAGACTGTTAAGATTGCATTCTATGATTCATTTATTTAAATATCCAACTATAATATCGATAGCCTTTCTTCAGAAGAAAAAAGAAAGAAATATGTCAAACGAAGATGATGATAATGAAGATGAAGATTTTGCCATTCGGCATGCATATGAAAAATATGGTGTTAATGGTTATTATAGTCAATATGGTTCAGACTATCGAAATCCACATGAAGCACGTTTAATAATAATTGTTCGTCAACTTGTAGAAAAATGGAATTTAAAACCAACAGAACGTATTCTTGATTTAGCTTGTGGTAGTGGAGAAATAACATTAATTCTTCGTCAATTAGGTTTTCAATATATAAATGGTATTGATCCATATACGAGTGAAGCATATGAAAAACGTACAGGCAATTCAATTCATGCTAAATGGACATTTGAACAAATAGCTGATGGTTGTTTAGAAAGTGAAGGAGAAATTTATGATATTATTATTTGTAGTTTTGCTGCACATCTTATCCAACCATCATATTTACCACTTGTTATGATACAATTACGTTTTGTAGCAAAAAAACTTATTATATTAACACCACATAAACGACCTCAAATATCACCTGAATGGGGTTGGATTTTAAAAGATGAATTTGTACATGAACGTATTCGTGCTAGACTTTATACATGTGATGAATAAAGAAAAATAAGAGAACTTATTTTGAATACAAAAAAAATTTTACTCTTGCATAAAAGGAGAATCCACTTGTCAGCATATAAATGATGAAGTTTTGGTTGTTAGGAAAAAATAAACTTAATTTTAGTAGAATCAGCTCTTATTCTAAAAAAAACATTGATATTGAAGTAGAATTCAGATAATATGATGTTTCTCATGTATGATATTGTAGCTATAAACAAGTTCATTGATGAGTATTGAATTATAATCAAAATCTGCTTTTCTTAGATTTCATTACAAAGACAGTAGAATCGTTAATACATAAAATATCTCCACAAACTCTGAAAATTGATTTTAATTTATAACTCTACTACTATCTAATAAGTTAATCTTTATATAGCAATCAATCAACCAGATATTTGGTAAAAGAAAGAAAGAAAGTTGACTTTTTGCTGGTCTAAATAATCTACAGTATACTTTTGGTACATGACCAATTAAATAAATAGAAAAAATTTTTTTACTTTGACTTCTTCATATACTGAAAAAACTTTGGTCATAAACTAAAGACATTTTTCAGCAATCTTAAAAAATAATCGAGTTTCCAGATAAGGAAAGAAGAGTGAACTGACAGATTGAATATATATATTCTAAAAGTAGAGATTCTGCTTTATCGACTCATAAAGTCCTATCTCTCTTCCATTGTAAAAAAAGAAGAATCTTTCTTTCTGCATTAAATCTAGTCATACACGTTTCTATCCATTTGTACGTTAAGTTTTGCATGTTTGGATGCTTAGTCTGATCATTCATGCTTATATGAACATATTTGATATCTTGTTTGTATATTATTTTGCTCAAAGCTCGAATTTCATTCGGATCTACTTGCGACGTGGCATAATTATCGTCATATTTTCATTTTATGCTTCTAAAATTTTTTGCTTTTTTTACGATTATTTCTACGTTATCAAGAAACTCGTCAGAAGAAGTTTAACAGTGATACAACAGCAAATTAACTACGTTTTTTAATTACATGCCAAATGAATAAACCATGCTGATTGAATAGGATCGATTGAAATATACGATCTGTTTGTTTTCTTTGTTAATGTTGAAATATCTTAAATAGTTATCGTGATGATGAAGAAATCTTTGTGTTTTATCTGCATCTGTGGATTTTGCTTAGACTAGAAAAATAAAGAAGTTATGCATCAAAGCTGAAAATATTTCATTTCATTGTGTCTGCCAATTGATTGTTCAATTAATTTCGTATATTGTGTAGTAGTCGATATTTTCAACTAATCACGCGATTTGCTGACTTTTTTTTTTTACAATAGATCATAAAAGAATTTTACAACCTATTCAACACAATACTTTCTTCTTCGATAAGCAAATGCAAATATAAATTTGTTCATGAAGACATTAAAATAAAAGAAAGCGTTTTTATAATCTTTTTTTTTGTCTGATATCAGTTGACAATGCATTTCAAGATGTTGTCAATCGTCATCGCTTTTGAATGATTCAGAATATCGAATACAATTATTTTTGTATTGTCATTAGTTTTCTGTCACTTATATTAGTAATCGATTCTTTCCTCATACGCATTTCATGTCTATTCATGAAAAACTTGATACTGTTTTTGGCAATTTATTGTATTTGTTTTCCGTAGACTCAGTTAAGAATTAATACTGTTGGTAGATTGGCAACCCAAACGAGTGGATGAATACGAGCTGCTATTTAAATTTTTAGTGCCTTCATCGAAATCTTGTACTCAGATATAGGTAACACAGATACATATGAATCGATCGAATGTTATCGATAATACCAATCTTTCATCTTTCTATTTAAATAGAATTGCCATTTTTTAGTTTATCTAGTCACATCAGCAAAGATAAGGAAGAAGCGAATGGCTATAGTTAGATATCATTAATAAGTTTCAATGATATGTATGGTGTTTCAGGGGTATTTCGCTTCTTTTTTTGTATCTTTGAATATGCAAAGTTGGACTGACATAGAAGATATATGTTAAATAGACTTTGTAAAGTTCTCAAAGAGTATGTGTCCATGAGCGTTCCTTGTCGAGTTTTGAATTGTTAGAGTATCTTCGATGCACATAAAAGTAATGGCAAATGCTTCTTGATCACTATGAACATGTAGGAGACTGTAGATCTTCTTGAGAGTGAACTCAATTGTAATTAGATATTGCTAGAAACTTTCACTATGATTTTCTCAAGAAATACAAAAATGATCCTATTACTTAGTAGTGTACACTTAATGTCATATGAAAAATCATGCAGATATTCTAATGAAAATGGTACTGAAGAAAAAAAATATTGAAAAAGTCTTACATAAGCTAGTTATTGTTAAGTTCACTCTAAAGCCTTCTACTAGTTAATAGTTTCATGTGCCTGGAAAATACTGAAAGAATTCGAAATTTGACCAGAAATGTGAATGGGCACAAACTCTTTGAAGATTTATCATACCTTAGCAAGACCTACTTTCCAGGCTAGCATGTATTCCGTTAAAATCATTTTGGATCCATTCAAATTATAGAACACACTGAGTTGCCTATAATTCTTTCGTCAACATAAAAGTCGAATATGTTAAACTTCTTGAACGAAAATGAAGTCGTAAAAACCATACATTTTTACCATTTTACTTTTGTTAAGATTTTGACGCGCTTTTTTTTTTGATTAGTTGTCTGACTAGAAAGTTTTATTTAGAAGCGTATCTAGAATTACAAAACTTTTACTGAGCCTAGGATGTATAATCAAGTTTTTTCAAAAAAAAAACAACATGAATTAGAAATTTGATGTGTAATTTTGCTAGCAGATAGATCTAGGTATTCTTAGAATATCTTGAAAGTTGAAAAATAAAATAAACTCTTCTTCTTGTTGTTATTGTGACTCTCTCGCAAGTTATACATTCGAGGACCAAAGTCGCGCACTCCAGACGAACTTTACCAAATCAGATGATCAAATGAAAACATGTTTATTTCGTGTCAACTCATAGTACATTCTGATCATCAACGTAATATAAAGTCACCTTAACATTCATCAGCTTCGAAAATTCGATTATTCATATTATGTACAAGTTTGATCACCGGCTCACGTAGTAGGGCCTTCTATACGCGTCGTATTGCTAAATTCAACGATTGATAAGTTGAGGGCTTTTTTCTTTATAACTCCATTTTGAGAAGTTGCCAAACATTGTCAATGGGTGCAAGAGCGGGTTACATCGATGACCAATCAATTTTGTGAGTCCTATTATTCATTCTCTTGTTGATTGTTAGTTTTGATCTATATTTGCGGTCGTTGTCTTCTTGCAGTGGCCACAACGTCGAAATGTAGTCGAATTATTTCTGAGCTATTGGTAAGAGATCACGCATAAATTTCGAGTCTAAATTCTATCAGAACAGCGATTCTCTTGCTGCCATTTCGTGAGCAATAACTTCGACATGGATAGGCTGTGTTTTGCGACTGCTTCATTGGTCACGTGTCGTTTTCACTTCAGTTGGTTTGTAATGTTCGGCGAGTGAAAGAATCTGTTGATTCTGTTTTTGAGTTGTTGCAGATGTATGTTCATGTGTTCTGCACTGTGTATTATATAAAAGAACATATGACTATCTTTCTAGGTTTAGAATAATCATATTTGCTCATCAAATATGGATAAAACAAGCGGATTTGCCATTTAATTTATTTTATATGATTATTAATTTGTTATAACATAGTCTTGATGATGTACTTATAAACGAGCGTTTGGATGATAAGAATCCAAATTTTACTTAAAATATATCTTTTTCTCATGGATATGACATCAATTCATGTGAAAATGAAAATATAATGCTTGATTCTATTTTTACTAGTAATTCTGTTTTTATGATTTAAGTATGATGTATATCTTCAACGCAATGTTTTTCTAATTAACCGATTTAAACAATTATATTTATCATGCCGCGTATTTCAATCTATCTTCAGCTTTGTTTTTTGGTTTTTCTTGCTTCTTTATTCTTTGTTTTTTATGAATTGATACCGATCAATACAAAGGATTATAATGAAATTATTGATGATTATACTCGTTGTCTTCTTGATGTTCATCGAGCATTAGGTTCATTATCTATTAAATGGTTTATTACATTTGGTAGTGCGCTTATGTATTGGCGTTCAAGAAATTTTACTTCGAATGATATGGATATTGGAATTTTTTATACAGATTTAAAAGCAAAAGCTTTTAATGATAAAAAATTTATCAAAATTATGAGAAAAAAATTTCATTTTAACTTTCTTCATCATTATGGTCAAATAGACCATGGACAAGAATGGACATTTTCATGTCCAAAATCAAATATACCTATTGATATTTTTGTTTATTATCGTCTAAATGAATTAAATAAATCATCAGATTATTGGTCAGCAACTTATAATGGTTTATGTAATAATATGATTTATAAAAAATGTCGATGGAGATTTAAACAATTTAATTTAACAACATTTGAAATGTTTAAAAGAAAATTCTATATTGTTCCGTTAGAATTTATTAAAGAACGATATGGAAAAAATTATATGATACCACACAAGTATGATTATTTTGAATCATTAAAGTTTTTACCAAATTTAATTGAAGAATATGATGTTAATACAACAAATAGTAAACGAAAGAAAAAATAAAAGAACAGTTGAACAAATATTTCTATTAGAATTTGTCATATCTTTGGGTATAGGAAAATAGTTTTGTTAATGATACTGATATTCATAAATAAATACTTGATAATTTATCGAATAAAAATGAAGAAAGTGGGAAAAAAACAAATATTGTCAGTGCTTGCTGTGTTGAAATTTTTTATTTAAATGTTTATTGAGATGTAACTCAGCACTGGAGGTGAAGAGTAGTTGTGTCTCAGAACAACAGGGTACTGCGTGAGCAATTTCCAAAAATGAGCGAGATGTGTGACGCTTGATACACCGCCAAAATTTTTATCATAGACATACATGTGGTTTATTATGAGAGAATCGATCCAAGTGATTAATCGTTTTTGACTACATACTTCATCCAAAAATTAGATTCCAGTAAAGTATGAACAAGTTTAAAAAGGGGAAGTTTTCATATGTCTTCCTACTAAAACACATCGAATGGCAGTACTTCAACCTCTTCACATGTTTAAAAAGATATGAGACTTTCACATCTCTTGTGGGATATAAATAACTTTTCGAAGTGGTATATCTTGTGAAGGATATATTATCCATAAGGTACCATTGTCTTATATTTCAGTAAAATGACTATGTATCCGGATGGAGGATATAAGGATACTCTTCTGTCGGAGTTTTGCTCACGTTGCTGGGATCTATTTTATAGGCAAAGTCTGAGTTCAAAAGTAATGGATCATTTGAAATGGTTCTCTCTCATTAGTGCATCCTTAACATTTGAGATTATTTATTTAAAAAAAAATAGATGCTTCTTTCATAATGCGTCAAACATCTGGAGTTTATACATAAAGTCACCATCTATTTGACTCGAATTTAACGGAAATATTCAAACGATTTTTCTAGAAGTTAAGGAAAGATGTTTACAGGGAGATATTTTTATAATATATCCTGCCGTAGTCTCACCCTACCTTGCTCCGCTGGACTGTAATTGTAATACCACTGTTTCATAGAAAAAATCAGTTTCTTTCGCTCTAGTGAAGATCGATATTTCTACCGTATTTTTTTCAAGATATTTAAAGGTTTTCTAGAAAATCCCAGATTGAAGTCTGTTAGTTTTCTATCGCTTGAAAATATCTTTCGAGACAGATAAATGGTCATGCTAAGTCGAATGGTGACATTTGCTTTTTCATTTCAAAACATCGTCTGTTTCGGTTCTGTAGGGAGAAAATAAGGAGATACAAAAAAAACATTTTATATATTCTCGAGTGATCGAAGGTCAATAAAAAAAATATGTGAAGTTTTTAGAAAACATTCCAATCTCTCGAATGAAACAAATTAGAAATGTTGACCTGGGTTAAATTGAAAGAAAACCATTTTTTATATGAAGCGATAGTATTACAAGCCAAAATGAGATGGAATATGCTTCTAAAATCTCGTGGTCAAATTGGGTATCAAGAAATCGATATGCCAGAATGCTGCAAACCACAGGATCTCTATAATTCTAGTTGACAACAACGAGTGATTGTTAAGTCCTTAGACGAGACGTTTGTTCACTTTTGATCTGATAGAAAGTATTTCTGATGAGACAAAAGTTATGAGTTAAGACCAAAATTTGGCGGTTTTTTTTTCACAGGAATTTTAAAATGTTATATCTTTTCTTGTTCAAAAGTAATCAGGAGCTGTTTGAAAGATCTGAAAAATTATTTTTGACGGTGAACCCCACATGTTTCTGTTTTTCCTATAGGTACTTTTGCGGGCACGCTAAAAATTGTCAAAGTCAGTCCTTATTTATAAGTAAAATTTTAAATCAAAATCTACAAAGGAACATGGAGACGAACCCTTTTAAATTTTTGCTAGTTTCACTGGGATCTACCTGTGAATTTCATACAAGTTTAAATGGCAGGTTTCCGTTAGGATAGTTCTTTCGTAAGTGTCCACATTTCAAAATTGAACAAACACCTTGTCTCAAAACTTTCGGATCACTCATTGCTACATGAAAATTTCTCTGTCTATTATTTCATAGGTTAAAGTCTATTGATATAAACATAAAGAAAAAATTTTGTCGACTATCTCTAGTTTTCTGTATTAAAACTATTATTTGATTTTTGAAATTTTTATTTTTTAGCTTAAATTTTATTTCGAAATAAAAAATATTCATCTGACTTAACAACGACCACAACAATAATAAAAAAAATTTAAACATGGAACAAGAATACGTCGTCGAATAAAACCAAGACGTTGCGCAAAAATCACAATAATTGGAAAACATAAAATAAGACTGAGACTAATTAAATCAAATGAACATGGATCAAATTGTTCAAGTAAGTCTCTTATAACTCGAACACCGGCTAATCTTATTTCAGGTACTTGATATTCTAATGTATTTAAAATATATATTTGATAATAATACCATCGTGATGATACAATTTGTCTTTGTTGATTATTACGAAGTAATTTTAATAAACGAATACCAATATCACTAAGTTGAACTAAATTTTCACAAAGTTGTAAAATATCTGTATCATTAGAATGAATATGTAAAATATTTGTTTTCCATAAAATAAATGTTGAATATAAAAGTGATATATTTTTTGTTTTGATTAATTGTCGAGTTTGTTCACTTTCTGATTTTAAAATATCAACAAAACGATTTAATGGTGTTTGACTTGTATAATTACGCGAACGATCACGTCCTTGTAAACCTAATGGTTCACATAAATCAGCTAAAATTTTTAAAGCACTAGCATTTGATGCTAATGTCGATAAATCTTTCATATATTGTTCATCATTAGGATGAAAAAATTTTTTATCCATTATAGCAAGTCTATCGTACATACAATCAATTTTATCATATGTTGATGACCATAATCTTTCAGCAATAGCAGCTGTACGTGGCCAAGTACGTGAATGAACCATATTTGAATTAATATATTCAGTCCATAGACATGCTTCACCACCAAGAATACGTTTTTGCTCCGTTGTATTAAGTATCATATCGATTTTAAGATCATTACTGTAATGATATTCAGCTGATGCCAGATGATCCAAATAAAAACCATGTGAAACAATTGCATGATAACCTCGATGAACTGCATCTATAAGAGAACTTTTATCACGCCATGATTGAATTACTGATTGATGTGAAAGATTTGATGTACTTATTTCATCCCAACCCATCATTGTACCTAAAAAAAAACAAGCATTTTTTAATATACAAGAGAGCTGTCATGGTTAACGAAGGAGCTTCTTCATCGGCTCCTTCTGATTTCAATGATATTTTGTCAATATATACTACATTGTGTTCTAATAACAACTCTAAAAGGAGTTAGATTTGACTAAGTTATTGAATTTTTAATTCACAGATTAGTACTCTCAACCATAAAATGACCGTGGGTTTATCACTAACGACTGTTTGTTTTGGATCACCTGTTCAATAACATGCTGACTACTTTGTGACATACACCTACTTTTGTGATTAGTTCGTGTGTATGATTAACTGAAGCAATTAAGGATAAGAACTCTGCGCCATATTAGACTTTTGGCTTAGACTATTGAATCGGCCGTTAGACTATCGTAAAAAATTTAAAACTTTTGTATCTCTAAAACAATCAACATAACACGACTATCTCTCAAGATAGTTGCGTTACATTCAGATATTTCAACTAAATCAATGATAGAAATGAAGGTGTAATATATGATGTTGTAATCGAATTGAACTATGGGTTACTTTCTTAACAAATGACTATAGATGCTATAATTAGAGAAAATAAACTGGCATGACATAAACACTAATGAATAGTCTGCGAAAATCATTTTGTTTTACAAAAATCGAATATATCCCAAAAGATCTTCAAATAATATCAAAATAAAGGTTTCATTTAATATTTTTTAGGATAATATATTCTATCATTAATTTTTAATTTTAAAATATGATACTCACGATTATATTTATTCAAAAGTTTTTCCACTCGTCTAGTAAAATATGCTTGTAAACTTTGATGATCATACAATCGTTCTTGTTTAAGAAATTTTTGTATTTGTTCTGATTGCATCCATTCATATGGTTCACATTCATCACCACCAATATGAAAATATTTATCAGGAAATAATTGTGTCATTTCAGAAAAAAATTTGTCAAGAAAATCATATGTACTTTGACGTGTTACATCCATTGTTGCATTTTTAACACCCCAAGTTTTTTCTAATTGATAATAACTATTTTTATTACTTGCTAAATGTGGATAACCAATAAACCATGCCGTTGTATGTGCTGGCATGTCAAATTCAGGTATAATACAAATGGCATGTTGTCGAGCATATTCAATAAGATTTTGCATATCCGATTGAGAATAAAATTCATGTAAATCATGAAGTCCAGGAAAACGTTTAGATTCAAGACGAAAAGCTTGATCATCAGATAGATGTAAATGCAATACATTCATTTTTACTAATTGCATTAATTTAATTGTTTGTTTAATAATTGATATTGGAATAAAATGACGTGCAACATCAAGCATTAAACCACGCCAAATAAATTGAGGTTTATCAAAAATTACAAGAGGTATTGGTACCTTATCATGATATTGTAATTGTTGAAAAGTTGAAAGACCACGTATTATACCAACATATGTTTTAGCATATAAAAAAGCATGATTAGTTGAAGTTATATTTAATTGATATGATTCATCTATACCTATATATGGATAAGATTTATTTTTCATATCGAATTGATAATCAATTGAAAGTATAAATGGAGCATTTTTAGATGATTGTGGAATTGAAAATGGTAAAGAACGTTTTGTTTTAATACGAATAATTGAAGGAATACGAATTCTTTTTGTTTTATTTAATAAAATGATTTGTGAAGGCATAGGCATTAAATTTAATTGAGTTTTATTTGAACAAAATTTAATAGATTTTTTATTAATAATAGTAGCAGTAGGTGGTGATGGATAATAATCATCATCTGATGGTCGATGTTTAATCCAACATACATAAGGATACATAATGGTAATTAGTAAAAAATAAATTGAAATTATAGCTAAACATGTTACTATGCTTACTGCCTTAAACATAATAAACTTTTCTGCTTTTGTATGCTTCTTAAATTTGCATGGCATCGATCATAGTCACAACGACAACATTAAAGAAAAAGAACAGAAACGAAATACAGTATGGAGTTTTTTTTTTCTTTGGAAGAATTGAAAATGTTTCGATGAATCTTGTCACAACGTATAGTTAGTCTTATGGATGATCGTTGAAGTAAATCAATAACCTTGAACTGTTACATGAACAAAAAAAGAAACTTTTCTTTTTTTTTATTCTCTATTAAGTGAATGATTGACTATGCGTAAAGCTGATTTTTTTTCTCCGATCGAACAGTTCTTACTGTAATTTCTTCGAATGAAGTGACATACGATTGTTTTCTTATAAAATATATATAAGACATATTTATAGATTGTTACTATTTAAAATAGAAAATATTTTTATAGACTTGTCTAATTGCTGAATCCATTTTTTTTTAATTTGAATGTAACCTAGATGATATTGATATCCGATATAACAGTGAATGAAATAAGAATACTGCATCAAAATTTTTGCAAAAAAGAAATTTGAATAAGTAAATCTTCTTGTTTGAAGTCTTCATTACGATCAAATCTAAATATTAGGGTCCTTGAAGAAAAAAAGAATTTACTTTTTATAGAACGAAAAAAAAAGAATTCGATTAAAAATTTTTAAAATCATTTGATATTTTAGATCTGCTTATCAGAGATGTTATGTATTCTTATATTTAATTGTTGACGGGTATTTATATTTTGTTTTTCATGATTTAAAAAATAAAAAATAAAAGTTAACATTTTTTCCCTTATCGATAATATGGTAAGTTGCTATATTAATAACTATCGAAACGCAACTGTCTTTCATTGCACCATGGTTTTTCTTTATTGAATTTTTTGTAACGTGTAAAACATTCGAAAGAAAATGATTTTGGTTTTATTCATATATCGTTAGATGGAATTTTGATATAATGACCTTGAATATGTCGGTTTCATTTTTTTTTCTATTGCCTTGTAAGAGAGCAAATTCAAAAAACGTTCAAAAAATGGCTTGTTTGAAAAAAAGTCAATTTTTTACCATTTTGATTGTCAAAATATTGCAATCAATATTTTTTTCTTATTTGTTATCTAAAACGGAATGTAACAGTCTTATTTTACTGGCTTTAAAATCAAAGATCTCTTCAGGATGAGAGCATCGAGCACTCCAAACCAGAGTCTGCTCATATTCAAATTTGCAAACTTATCTAGTTTCTTATATGAAGAGATGATACCAAGTGTCTTACTTCACTAGAATCTCTCGAGGATTTATTAGTTTGTAAAGTTTTTCTGTTATTAGTGAGAAAATGGAAGTTTTTGATCGAAACGGCAAAACTCTATACAAAATTCAGCTATTTCAATCATCACATTGTTAGAAAAGAGCTAAACAAACGTTATATTCGAAGTCAGTATACTTTTCATCGAAATACTTCTCTAGCCCCAAATTCAATCCGATATGGTGGAAAAAGGCAGAAAGGAAAAATATCGAAAGCAAAAATATTACAAATGTAGATGAATAAAAATGTTGAAAACGAGAGTATGTTGAAGTAGAAATCTTTCTTACCCCCACCTCCAGTCTTACATGTTCATTTTCACCTCATATTCTTGTTTTCGACATTTTTCCTTTCTGCCTTTTTCCATCCATTCGTTCGATACACCCTTTTCAAATTGTGACTTATTTTAAACAGAAGAAAAAGTGTTGATTCAATTCTAATCAATCGAGTATCTTAGTTCAACGAGTAAAAACAGAATGAATCGAGTCATTTTTACATATAAAATTAAGTGAAATGAAGCAATGCTTTAAAAATTAAATCTTTGATCAAAATAACACTTAACTAAAAGTTTTATCTTTATTAGAGAATTGAAGTAACAGTGAATGTATTGACAATCATTTCAAGATATTACCTACACGCCAAATCGCACTATCGTACAGATACGAATCTCATGTCAAAATTCTATTCAATAATATATTCAGAGAACAATAACCCGAAGCAATAATTGAAATTGTATATGAAATACACAAGACAAGTGCTATCGTAAATATTGGCAAGATTAAGCATGGATTTGTCAGTTGATGTCGCCAATTTTATCGTTCTGTTATTTCAAAGTAAAAAAAAAATCATTTGGTGTACTGTATTGAATTACAGTAAAAGAATAGCACATTTCAACGTTCTCGAAAATTGAGAAGTTTTTTTCGTTCTGTAAAACAGATGCATATCGGCCATAACTTGAAAGTAATTGTATTTGTTTTCTGTCAAGCAGAAAGGCGATAATCAAACTTCACTGCACTCGTCGTGTATCTGACTTCTTCTTCTTTTTCTTTTTTTTGAAGTGTTACCAAAGTGCAACATAATGGCGTTCGTTTTTTTTTCTTGTGCTTCACCTTCATTCTTAAAACGTGCAATATTATGTATAACATAATTTAGAAATATAATGCGTCCATACTTATTTAACACATAAAGAATTTGAATATGATTACCAAAACATCATAGAATGAATCCATATTTTCAACTATTGTCATTAGTTTTATTGATAGAATTTTCGTGACAAACTGTATTGCTAGTAAAGATGGAATGAAGTAATGACAAGTTCAATAAGTAAAATTGTCTTGATCAAAGTCAATCTTTTGTATTAATTTATTCTTAGTTAAAATTTTATGAATGCTATTATTGAAATTGTGAAATTACAAAAGAATCTTTTGAAAACTTTCGAAACCGTTTATTCATTGGTGAAAATGTTCTTGTACAATAGTCATGTTTTGATTTATGATAGTCAATAAAAATCATTGTCAGTTCCACCATTGACTTTACACTTGTCGACTATATGAAGTTAATTTCTATTCATTTTTGAAGTTGTCAGTTACAGTTCATATCTAATGAAAGTTTTATTTAGATATGGAAAAGTAGATGATTTTTTTCAACGATTCAAATAAAAATAATATGAAAAAAGAAACTAGACTGCAATCCGAGCAAAACACTAGAGTATAAAAGCAGTTGATTGCACGAGCTTCGAATATGTTAGTACGTTATCTCATATGTTACAATTTTTAATATCCAAATCTATTCTTATTATATCCGTATTTGATATTCTAAAAGTTTGCATTGAGTATTTTTATCAAGATTGTTATATCGTGAGTTATAAAATCAAATTAAAAAAAATCGCAACTGCCTCTTGTTTTTATTAGCGTTTTTAATATATATATAGTCAGATCGACTTGACAAAATTTTTGCTAAAACCTTAGAATGAGCTGATATTGCCATCGATTTTTTTCAAATGACTTAGATAAAAATAAATATTTTGTAATCCTTTTTTTTTTGTTGCAAGAGCTTCTAATACTAATAATTCTTCTCTCGCATGCTCTTGGTACATTATCTGTTATTTGATCGATATAAGCCGTGCTGGTTTTTGTTTCTCTAGACATTGGATAGGCATTTATCATCCAAGATATGAATGGTCACTTTAGGATTGGATCATACATCATTATATAAGGAAACTACTAATTATAAATTATCATTTTTGACATATGTATATGTCCCGAATTCTATCGAATTTTGAAAAATGGATTTCATTTGTACAACATTCTCACGATCTCAACAAACTTTTCAATTCGAAATTATGTTCAGCTGCTGAGGATGAATGGCTGATTTGAATTGTGACTCGTACATCAAATTGAAGAGAAAGCAGAATTTGTCACGACAATTAAGCAACGGAAAAGTAATTACTACTGAATTATGCGATAAATTGTCCAATTACAGTTTTTTTTTTCTATTCCGAAGTAGTTATAAGTAATGACAATGAATCATTCTCCGATCTTTATTGACCTCTAAAAGATTCTAGTAAATACAAAACTAAATTTTTGATGACACACTGCTCTTCATAGACCGAGCGATACGGTAATATATTGGATTCATGAATCGTTTCTGTACTACTTTTAACATTAAAAACAAAGGAAAACAAAAATAATCGTCTGCATTTTTTTTTTATTTCGTCTATTGTAAAATGTATAGTTTAGTTTATTTATTATAAATCTGTTGTAGATTTTGCTTGAAGAGATTTCTTACAGCAATGAAAAGTCACTTTATTGCATAATAGTAAAAATTAAAATATATTAAATAATCAAATTAAGGAAAAGAATAAAAATATTTATGAATTTGTCAATCTTTCTGACAAGAAAAGAATACGGCTATTCTTAGAATTGAAAAAAGAAGGAAAATATTATGCATAAGGATGATTGGATTTCGATTAAGATGCATCGAAGTGATTGTCTGTGTGATTTTGTTAAGAAAAAAAAAAGACTCTCACGAGAATCGTATTACTTTTTGTAAAAATCTCATAAACCCCTCCCCGTAATAGAAGCCCCTCCCATATTACAAGCCCCCTTTAAAGGATCTATCCAGCAAAATTTTCAATTTTTCCCAGCAAAATCCGGCCAAAGTTTGCAAGGCCTAATAGAAGCCCCGGGGGGCTTCTAATATGGGAGGGGGTTTATGCATTTGTTTGGTAATAAGACATTCTGGCTCTTGCAGAAAACAGAACTATGTTACGCGAGTACCAATTGAAAAAAAAACCCTCAAAAGTCGTGTCTACTTTCGGTGCGTTTTCATTCGATATTAAGATAATTTATTACTTACGTTATTGTATTTCTGCAAGAGCTGCTGTATAGCTATTTTTTTCTCTTCAACAGAAAAGTAAGTTTAGCAGTCATATATTGAATGAGAAAAAAAAAGAAATTCGACACTGTTTAGTTCCATGATTTTCTTCTCTATTGTCAACAAGTTGCATGACTATTGAATAGACACACTCATGATATTAACGATTCGTTTCAGTTGCCGTCTTTGCTAATAAATATAGAAAGACAACATCCCATAACAATAAGGAACAGTAAATATTTTTTTAAATGTTTTCCTACTTTTCACGCGAACCATTATTTTCATTTGAATACAATAGGTTATTAGAAAAACGATCTTACTGAATGAACAATATGGAAACTTTGCACCACCTTCGCTTACATGTCCGAGAGGTCTTGTTCACTAAACACGTTTTACAACGAATATATTTCAATCATGTTCACATGATAATTAGTTAAATGAACAAAGTATGAAATTTAGTTCCAATAGTCCAAATTAGAGATCAATATCCTGTGCGTGGTATATGTAACAACTGCCATCAAAATATTGTGACGCAAACCAAAAGGAAAAATGGTCTTGCGACATGAGCCAGCGTCGAAGGTATTTGTTTCTTCGGAGCTCCATCCGGAGGCTTTCTTGACTGCTGTTTGATTCCATTCTGTATTGATAATCCTACGGTCTGACAATAAATCACATATGTAACTTATTATTACTATTTTGTTTTTATAATATTTAATGTGTAGGATACAGTGTATTTTTGTTCAAATTATTCTATCGTTCTTGGTGTAGACAAAATGCTTTAATGCATGAATAATTCAAAATGATTTTTCTATTTAAATTCTAAAAACTTCATTTTCAAATTACTTCTGCTTAATTGAAAAATGTTCATGGAGTACGAATGAGAGTATTTATTTTGAAAAACAAAAACATACAATATTAAAAATATTTTGAAAAAAATAATTCTGAAAATAAGATTTTCTAGATATTGACGCTAAGCAAATTCTGTTGCAGTCTATGATGTTTTCATGATTCGGACGGATGAAAATTTCTATTTTATACACTTCAACACTTCTTTTAGATCATGTTTTACAAGACCAAAGATGTATGCCAAAAGGTTTTTCATTCGACTCTTCTAAAAGTTGTAATGTTAATGCAACTATTCTAACATAATGCTTGGACATATTTAGGATAATGTGGAAAATTTTAAATTTAGGAGTCTTGAGATTCGTTTTTCTTTCAGCCTACTGACACAACATTTTCTACATGAATTTTGAACTCTTACGAGAAAACTTTTAAAGTATATTTCTACATGATTAATAAATTGGCTTATTTTCCAAGAAAAGTTGAACTCATTTAATATGAGCATGAGAGATCTAAATATCTTCAGATCGTATGTTAATCAATTTATTTCATTTTATTAGTTGTTTTTGAAATAATTGCACTTACGAATGAGCAAAGAACACTTTGAGCATCGTAGTTATTTCCATTTTACTTGTCTGTTTAAAGTACTATAAGATTTTGCACTCAATGAATACATTATTAACTTATCATAATGATAAATATATAATAGAGTAGTCGACAGTTGAAATGTTACACACTACGTAGTTCATGAACAATCGAAACAAGAGCTCAAACAAATGAAACATGCCAATTTCTTGACGAAATCTAATTTTATTAAGTTTATAGCATTATGATCTAGTAAACAAAAGTGAACCCATCAATAATTACAAATTTTAAAACGGTATCAGCAATGAAATAAAAGACCGGTCGTTAACCCTTTACCCCTCCATAACGGTTTCAGAAAAGTATCTAATAAAACAACTATTGCAACACGGTATTATTCTCTTCGATAGATCATGATATAAGAAGATCGACAATGTGCACTTCCCTACATGCACAATAATTTGGCAGCTGAAGTTGCCAATACGAAGTTACGATGTAAATTTTCACCATAATAATGAAAGACCATGAATAGCCTAGAGTATAAACAGATTTTGGACGAAAGATAATATGAAATTACATCCAAATCCATATAATATCTTTCTATCTTCGAAACTTAAATATCAATTGCATGGAATGGAATTCAACGCTACCAATTCAATATTAACGATGTTAAGCCCCCCCCCCCCTCCTCAGAAAAGTCAATTTTCGTCAAATTTATTGATTTTGTGATTTACAACTCATTAGATAGAGCAATGTGTTTACTTTCGAGTGCAATAAAGTTGATTGATTTTATGATGAGATTTAAAGATATTACATAGGTTTTTCTGAAGCTCCATATTGAAAAAATAAGGTTTTTAAAAACTTATTTTTCGTTTTTCTCAAAACCAGTTTTTCGACAGTACCGTTTACGCGAGTAGGCTTTTCTTCATAATGGCTCGATACAGAAGTGATAGGTTTTTTTTATTGTATAGTAGACGGGTGGGGCTAGGTCGTGACGGAGTCGGATTTTTGAATTTCTCTTTTGCTGAAATAAAAATCGTAGTTCTTTCATTTTGATCAGTGAGTTTTTTTTATCATGAATTCAAGAATTTTTGAAAAAAGGATTTTTAAAAAACAAAGGAAGAAAAATTCAAAAATCGAGCTCTGTCACGGCCTAGCTCTAGGATCACTCTACAACCTAGAAACCACGCTGGCCTGTTAGCTCCCAGTCCTCACGACGAAAACCCCGCCCGCGTACAGCGTACTTTTTACCACTAAATTGCCTGTAAGTCATTAGTATACTGGGGTTTGGGGAAGATATTTCACCCATAGCCTAGACTGATATTCTCTGAAATCGGACAAAAAATAACGAAGTTGATTTCGGAGAGGGAAGGGCCTTAAAACAAGTCACAAAAGACGATCTGAAAAATGACTTCCATAATCTGGTTTAATTAAATACACAAGTGCGCATGGTTCATGTTAGACAATACTTTGAAAAATAACACTAATTGTCGAAACGTTTGAGGAAAAAATTTTTATAGTACCATTTGTAATGAATTCAATAGGTTCATTCGCCACCTTACAACATGTATTTTTCTTTTTATATTGTATTGATTGATTAAATTAATCATAAAAAAAAATATCTATATATATATATATATATTCTATTCTCTGCATTGTCCTATCGATTTACTAAATCAAACGAATTATTTATTAGCACACACAAACAAAACAATACAGCTGAAAAACGGTAATAGAAATCGTCTTATGTGAATAGTACATGAAAGAAAAGCAAAAAAAAAAAAGATTTACAAAAAAATTCTAGGTTGAATTAGAATAAATAAGAATTATGTTTTTTTTCTTTTTCTTAATTTAATTAAAGACGTGTACTATTACTGCTAAAAAAGAAACGTCTATCAACAACATCTAAACATTCTATTAATGTTTCTTGTATTAATCGATCCAATATTGAATCAGCTATGTCAAATTTCAATTGTATACAATCATCATCATAATTAATCCATTGAGATTCTGTACGACGTATTTCTTCATCAAGTACTGTTTCAAATTTTTCTTTACCATTACGTGTTCCATTTGATATACGCCATTTTGAATATGTTATTTGACGTGTATTTAAATTTAATATTTCTAAAATTTTTGTTTGAATAAATTGTTCAATAAAATGACGATTTTCTGGTTTATTTCCACGATAAAAACGTTTCGAAACAAGTTTTGTTTTTTGCCATTCAGGATATGTTGATAATTGAACATTTTCTGTATACATTTCATGTAATAATTCAATACATAAGTCAAATATCATTTGACAATAAGCATGACGACTATGTCGAATATTTTCATCATCTGAATCTATTGTTTTTTTTTTGTTGGAACAAAAAAAGAAAATATTAAAACACACCAATAAAAAAAAAATACATGAAAAAAAATACCTTGTTGATCGTATGTAAAATATGAATTAGGTATTTGACATTTAATAGCTGATCGATTTGAAAAATCTGTATTTTGATCGAATAAAATTCTTAATGCTTCATGACATAATTCAATAACTTGTTCGCGAGTATGAGGTACAAATGATTTCACTTGTTCTTCAATAACTATTTTTCGAGGACTTTCAATTCGTGGTTCATCAGCTAGAATAATTAATATAATTATTTCAATAAAAATAGGTTAACAATCGTTTTAAATAATTTTTCGAAAGAAAATTTTATTATATTTTTCAGAAACATTGATGCATTGAACGAGCGAAGTCTTACGAGGGAACCGTTTCAAGTGATTCACGCCGATTTTGCTTATATTTTGCCCATATGTAGGGGTCAGTATGCTAAGAAAAAGCCTAAGAGGATTTAGGCCCATGTTGCTTCTTTCGAAGGTTATGGCCATTTTACTGATTTTTCGGCCTACGACAAGGTATTTACAAAAAATTCAAATGACGAAATTATGTCTTGAAATTTTGCCCATATGTAGGTCTCATGGTCCTTAATGTATGCTACAAGTTTCATCAAGAATAAATGTTCCATTTTCGAGACAATGATTGTCCAAAAAAACTCGATTTTTCTTAGTCCTCTATAAAA